ACCGTCACTCTCCCGCCCCCGCCTCGGCGCTTCTCTCATCGGTAGTGTGTCTATGGTAGTCATGCTACAGAGGATCTCGTTATGCGAGGAAACTCCAGGACAATGGCCCAAAGACGAATACACACACGTACACGTAATGGAAGTTTATACGAGAGAATGGGATTCACCATCTCCCTCATTCTGCGGCGATCTTCCGAATCCCCTCGGGCAATATGCAAATCAACCGTCGACAATATCGCACGACTCTTCGCTATGTTCTTATCGAATCGAATGTAATATGCGCAGACGTATGGAAGATGGCGGAAGAATGTAGTGAGGGGTCTTCACAAATTTCCTCTCTCCAGCTTTTTTTTACCGTTTTATTGTGTCTCTTTTTTTATAGAGGGGATTTTCTCAACGCTTATCGCCAGACATTATTCGCCCATTACCATATTCAAGGAGATTGTTAAAAACCCATGATAATTTTCTCGTCCATATTTTCATTGCTATTCCCCCTCTTCGTGGTAACATTCAAATTGCGGGGGAATTGGATATTGAGGAATGTATCAATATTCGGATTTTTCGGGGTGTCTGGAGGAGGGTGTATGTAATTGGAGGCAGAATTGTTTTGAGAAAACAGGGGGAAAGTCCGAGGTGGACGGAATGAGCGGAGGAATAATTTTTCTGGATTTGTTTTTCTTCATGAACGTTATTTATGGGAGAAGTTGTTTGTTGATAATACAGAATTTTATTGACAATAATGATTATTTCGCAATTTTATTATACTAAAGAATGCTTTGGGGGATTCACTATTGAGTTTCGACAGATCTGCAATGAAAAAAAGGCCTCCGTGAGATTTTGGTAGAAATAAAAATAAATAAGTATAGTTATTTTCGGTAATAAATCAGGAATTTGCTTCCGGATGGATTCTCTTTTTTAAAAATCTAATTAAAATTAATATTACTAGTTTCTTCTTCGATTTTTTCATGTCATAGTACTATCATCAATTAAAATGTCAGCAAAATTTTGAGTATTATACATTCTTTGAAATAATTCTACATTCAGACCCTCTCAAGGCTCGAATTCGTTTTCCGTCCCGGTTTAATCAAGGCTCAATCAAGGTTTAATCAGTATATCGTCGCTCTGAAGGTAAAGGGGCGTAAGTGCCAGGAAACAGTGTTTCCAAAGTGAAAGAGGCGTATGTCCCAAATTGATAGTTTTTATGGTTTTTATGCTTTTCATACAATTTCTGAACAAAAACCTATCAACGAAAATATCTCTAACAAACAGACGTAATGACCAGATTTTAATGGGACTGGAGCGTATCTCCACACTTACGCCTCTTTCATTTTAATCAATAAATCATCTATCTAATTTTCGATGTTGTTCGAGTTTCTTTTTTTAAATGAACAAGGGTTGAAACGGGTAAAATTTGATTTCTATGATGTGTACATTCACGAGAAGACGGGAATCCAGTGGACAATGGAGTAATCATAATACATTTCGAGACTTTCCAATGAAAGGGAAAAATACTTATTTTTCTCAGTATCATTTGAATTTCTGCTATGTACGGGAGTTACGCCTCTTTGTGATTATGATTTTTTAGGATGGATAAAAAATTGGATGAATGACTAAAAACAAAGGGGCGTAAGTGCTCGACTTACGCCCCTTTATTATTAATTTTCCTTCACGTAAATTAGAATATTATCAGTAAGGATAATAGTAAAGGGGCGTAAGTATTGGACATACGCCTTCTTAGTGTTTACTGATTGGACTTACGTCCACTTGGGGTAAAAAAAATTGACGAAAAACCTAAGATATAGGCAGAAAACTCCATTTCCGAAAAAAAAAAAACATACGCCCCTTTGGTATCGAAAAGAAGAATTGAAAAATAATGGCACTTACGCCCCTTTACTTTTAGAGTGACGATATCACCAGGATATAATCATGGTTTTTGTTCAGAATTTAGCTAGTTTAACCCAGGTTCTATCAGAATGAATGAATCAATATGAATAAGTACTTAACATAAGGGACCAGTAACTGAATTTAATAGAGATAGAGATTTTGATATAAAAAGCTAGTTATTGAAATTTACCAACTAGTTAGTCAAATTTGATAACTAATTAATTAAAATTCAGAAATTTTTTTTCTATTTCATTCGACAACCATTTGTTAAATTTTTTTCATGTAATTTCGGTATTAAGAATTCGAAATGAATTAATTAGTTGATGAATTTCAACAACTAGTTATTGAAATTCACCAAATAATTTACTCCGCGTAGAGTATACTGCGAGGAAATTATTTGGTGAAGAATTGAAATGGTTAGAACACACCATTCTATCCGACCGGAGTTTAGAACCCAGGACCTTTTGCCTCTGAACCAACGACCTTATCCACTGCGCCAGTCAGACAGATTATAATTTTTTACTGAAACCTTTTTCTCTTGAATTTTTTGTGATAGTTCCAGCATTGAATAAATAAGCAATGATAATTGCAAAACGGAAGTACCCAATATTCAATGATATGGGTGCTAACGAAGAATAGAATTCTTATCTCCACCATTTCAAATCGGAAGTTTTTCTACTTCTTCTTGAATGGCACACGCAGAACTACCGCTTTTATGGCTCATTCCAACGATATCCCTGGAATTGTCAAACTCAGCATAAGTGTATCGTTGAGGGTAGCAGTTTTATGTAAGATAATCCAATTATGAAAGATCTGATGAGTAAGGGAAAGAATCCGAGAAAATCCGAGAATAAAACAGAAATTTCTGTTTTATCCCCGGGCAAAAAAGAGAAACGAATGGACACGCATGAAAAAATTCATTAGAAAACCTAGTGAATTTACTAGAGAATTCAATTCGAAATCTATAGGAATTCTATGGGGTTTCTATAAAATGGATAAAGGGAATATTTTTTGCGCTGATTCTATTGCATATTTGATCGGAAAAAGGCAATATATTTTTAACTTCTGTTAGAATTTTTCTCTTAAGATTTTTGCTATTAGAATTATTGGACACAAATTTTCTAAGGTTTTTCCGCTGGATTTTGCTTTGTTTTAAACTACAGAATCCGCGTAGAAAACATCTAGAAAATTGATGCCTAAACATTTTTATAAAAAAAATCTCGGGAGACAAATTCAAACAGAAATTCGAAATCTATTGACTTTTTCTTATCGAATATCCAATAGAATCAGCGCAAAAAAATAAATAGAAATTTCTAGCGAATTCGCTAGCTTTCTATTGAATTTTGTCATGCGTGAAATATTCTGAAAAAATTACAATGCTGCATCTGGATATCATTACTCAAATGAATATTCCTCCATTAATTTTAAATGAATACTGAAACTTTAGTTGAAACCTCGGAAACTCCCCAGTGTGCTATTAACCATAATTTAATACTTCCCTCGAATTTAACCCTCATGAAATTTCAAACAATGAAAAAATTTTATATTTCTTAATTCCAGGAAGACATTACCATGCTGCAGCTACTCAGCGGCTGGAACTGGCGGTCTGACCGGAAGTTCGGTACTCGTAAGGGTAGACCCGAGGCCAGGAAGTGCCAACTCTGGCAGTTATGCCACAATTGCCGACCTAGAGCCTCTCTACGCACGGCCCTGCGGCTCTCGCGCCAGCTATTACGCCTCCAGCCATGTCACCCACGTCAGTCAGGTAAAAACCAGAAGATTCAGTTACGTAACTCATAGCCTCCAAAATAGTATATTACATAGTACATTATTCTTTTTTTTACCAAATGGTAAGAAAAATGAACTCAGAATGATAAAAATATCCCTTTAGTATCACTTTTTTATAATGTTTTTTTTCTGAGGAGCATAGGGTCAATTGAGAATAAAGAAAGTTTAACGAAAGGACACCAAAACTACTCGTTTGATATCCGCTCTTATATGTTTCCGATTCCATGTTAAATGAAATTCAACTCACGACATCGAGAATTCCGATGACATAGTGGCTAAAATTTTAAGAAACAATCTTGAAATTTTCAACAACGACAAAGTTACATACCAAAACTGTTTTTGGTTCTTCAACTTTATGTGTATTTCTTCAAGGGATTCTCAATTTCCAGGTCCATATGATACTGGAAAATATTGAAAATTGAAAAAATTTAGGAAACGATTTTTCTTAATTCCCAATCTATTCAAAATTCAATTGTATCCGATGTTTAATTTTCATATTGATTTTGGAAACTCAAGCTCCCATTGAAATATCAATGATAACTCAACATAAAAAATCCACTTACTTAAGTTTTCCAAAAAATTGAGAAATTGCTTGGACAATTTCATGTTAAATGCAATTTAAACTCACGACATTGAGAATTCCGAGAACATCGCGGCTAAAATCTGAGGAAACAATGTTAAGATTTTTTAAAGCGACAAAGTTACAGGAAATTTATTTATATTTCTTCATTGACGAATTATTTCCTTTCTTAAATGTGGACGTCCGCATGAAAAGGGACCACTTTGTCGATATGGAGTTATGTATACTCTGATAATATTTATAACATTCCGCACATTTTGAGCCCAAAATGATCCTCATAGGGTGAAAAATGACGTCGCCCGAGTAGATGAAAAAACACTTTAACATGAGTGTAAATGGGAGTTGCTGAGACAAAAACGTGAATATCTCGGAAACTAAAATCGACAAAGTGGTCCCTTTTCATGCGGACGTCCACAAATATCGAAGGGTTCTCAATTTCCAGATCCATATACACTGGAAAATATTAAAAATAGAAAAATTCGGGGAACAATTTTTATGAATTCCCAATCTATCATATTAAAAATTCAATTGTATCTAATGTTTAATTTTCACAATAAAGAAAGGAAAAAATTTAAAGAGAATTCGAATTTAGAAAGAAAAAATCCCGCATCGCCCACCCGGGATTGGAACCCGGGTCTCCCAGTTACGCACCGGGCACTGTCCCAACTAGGCTACCGGGAACTACGGAATTCAATTGTATCTAATGTTTAATTCTGAATGAAGAATTTTCGTCAACGAAGAAATTCACGGAAATTCAAGCTTTCATTGAAATATCAATAATCGCTGAACATAAAAATTCCATTTGCTTGAATTTCCAAGAAAATTGAGAACTTCCATAGACATTTCCATGTTAAATGAAATCCAAACGCACGACATCAAGAATTCCGATGACATTGTGGCTAAAATTTCAGAAAAATTCGAATATCGTGTCGAACACTGAATTCAGTAGCGAAGTGGTAAACCGGTTTAAGTCGACTCATTTTTCAATTGAGTTTTTAAGGAATATTTCCGAATCTAACGAAGATAGCGAAATTTTCGTAATTACATTTGTTGTAGCTCTCAAGCGGCTCTACAAAAAAGGTTATTACAAAAATTTTGCTATCTCCCTTAGATTCCGAGATATTTATTAAAAACTGGTCAATAGTCAAAATTGACTTATACCGTCTTACCACTTCGCAATTGAATTATGGTGGAATTTTACAGATATCGATTTGCAGGTTTCTTCAACCCACGACATCTATCCATTAATGTTTGACCCATATTCAACGGCCATAAATTTTATGACCCTTCGGGCATTTAGTGCGCTCTTCTTTGATAAACAGACACCAGAAAGCATGCAAATAAATCAGGAAAAGAAAGTATCACCATTAAAGTAGAGAAATTTGTTGAATGAGGGGAAGATAAGACAGATAATTTCCGGCCCTGTGAGGAGGGTTCTGCTTGTTGAGTCTACGAGACTCTCCCCCAGGGAACGTAGATGCAAATGCGACAGGAATTTCACGGGTATAAACAGTGTCCTTAGGTACACAAATTCTGGAGGAACAAAACGATGAAACCATGTAGGGAAACACCTTGCTATATGCTATCTACTTCACCTAGCGACACTATTGTATAAACTTGGTTGAGGTTCTATTGAAATCAAGAGCAGGAGACTTACTCTTAGAGAAGAGTTACAATATACAATTCCTCATCAAAGTTTGAATAGCGAGAGGAGTTGGAAAAGCAAAATTAGAAATTCAAATTAAAAAAATGAGTGTCGTAGTTAAAGTAGTTTGAACATCCTCCAATTGAGTCGACCGTGGATGTATTCGATGAAAGTGAAGTCGAAGTGGGTCGTTTTAATCATACATGGAGAGAAATGTTCAGTAAAAATTACGAAACTCTCACTTCACTCACCGATTACGGAATCGACTCAGAAAATTTAAGTGACGGTATCGTAATTTTTCACAAGAGATTCAGATAAAAATTACGGAACGCTCCGGAAAAATTCCGTGACAGTTCCGTAAAATTTCCTAGAAGCACATTTCGCTTCGGAATTACGGAAAAGATACGTAATTTTTATTGAATATTTCTTTCCGTGTAACTACATCAGTTTTGACTTTTTTTTTATTCGAATAATCGGTGGAAGTAAATTGTTCAAAAGATGGAAAATCACCAAACTTTTGAATTCTACGAGAATGATTTCCGAAATTCTTTCATAAATCGAATGGAAAAATGATGCTATCTATATCAGGGAATGAATTGAAACAAGATATTTGAAGAAACCATCAGAAAGTTCACTTTCAGGGCAGACCAACGAATATAGGTGACTTTGAAACTAATACTTCCATCTACCATTGAACGAATTTAGAGCATGATGCCCAAAGATATCCTGGGAATTATAATTTCAATAAAGCACAAAATTTTTCAAAATTATTAAAAAAATCAAAACAACGATTACAGTTATCGCCTTCATCTTCGAAGTCTGTCAAAGAGACATCCGAAGATTTTTTTCAAACCATCATTCAATGATTTAAGAACTTTTTTCTTGTAGTTATGGTGGGATAAACGATTTTTGAAAATATTTGAAAATTCAAAAATATAATCAATAATATTCAAAAATGTCATCAATAATACATGAATTAAATTTTAATTAATGTCGATGGATACAGCTCAACAATAACTACATTTGAAAAAAAAATCCACCAATACCATTGATTTATTAGCGAACAATTAAAGAAGCACTTTGTCACATACATACATCCATAAGGACAGGATCTAAAAGTAACATATTCGGAATTTTTTAATCACAAGATCTATGCGCGCGCTGATCTATTCATTTGTTGAAATGAAGAAATGGAATTCATTGAATTTCATTTTCTCATGAATACCTTATAAATATTGATAATGAATCAAAGAGAATTCGACTAATGATTGAACTGAATAGCGAAGTAGAGTAAAAGAATCTATAAAGAATTTTTCATTTTCAATTAATTATCTTCAATTTTTTTAAATAATCGGTCTCCATAAAAGGACAGAATTTATTAATTTCACCGATGATATATATACATGTGAAATATATATATTATATATATATATGACGTGAAAAAAAAATTTACCACTGAAGAATTTGAAATTATGTCACTGAAGAATTTGAAAATGCCGCGTGTTTTTTTTGCAAATAACTTCGTGTCACATATTGACCAATCAGAATTAACGATTAGCGGTCAGGCAGTTTCGAGATATTTCGATATAAAACAACTTCACGTGTCTTTCATCTTTAGTAAAATAGGATAAAAGGTTGATATAACACAAAAACATCCGAAACTTGAATTTGAAAAATTACAATGCCCCCATTCACAAACAAAAAAAGCGAAATGTCAAGGAAAGTGGACTCGAATGTTGGTTACCGATACCTCCACGGTATTAATTATTAAATCAATTATGAACTTTTATTTAAAATTTATTTCAGATTTCAATCTTTAAAAATCGAGGTGTACCCACACCACTTCAAATTAAACATTCCAGACGCATTTCTAATTCAGCGAACAATTCATCACTCCTCCTAACAAGAACAACAGAAGTACATCTCTGTCGGTTGCATATTCTACCGAATAATTGCCAAGTTTCACAATGAAAATAACGCAATGCTTGAATTTCTCAGGATGCAGAAATTTTCTAGGAGATCACTCGTACCTCCAAGCCTCGAGTAGCAAAATGATTCCACTAGAAACTCACTTCTCCTTCCACGTGAAGCACCTTCTGTATGAAAAGTGAAGCGAATTCTGCACTATTATATATTACGTCTCGTGCTCGACAAGCAACAGCTCCTGAGACGTCATATACCCCGCCCCCTCCCCCCGCCCCGCGCCGCCCCAACGAGTACCCGTCTGACGGCATACGCGTACACCCAGTAAATTGATCCAAGATCAAAGCTGAAACAATCACAGGACCCACTTGCCTGAGCCACCCCTCGACCCTTTAGCCCGACGTCTTCGTCTTTTATCCCCGGACCTCTCTTTCTCTTCGGATGCTTGAGAAACGAACCAACCGCGTGTGTAACCTTTCCATCTATCTCGAGACGCCCTTTTCTCATTCCAACCCTCGTATTTTCTCCCTGGAGACACCCTCTCCCCCTGCTCCACGCGTTCTCTCTCCTTTCAATGTAGAAGGTAGAGAGGAAAAACGTTGGCAACTCTATTTCTCATACTTCCACGGTGAAATTAATATGAACGTGACATGGAATATAAAAGAGTAAATGACAACATCACGAAATGTCGTCAGGTAAGACGAAAATTAGATTAGGGAGAGAAGAAATTTCTCAAAGGTTTTGCAAAGAATATTCAAGGGAGTTCCGAGAAAATCAGGCCCGGTGGAGGTTACACCCAAAGAAATGATCTTTTTTTTATTGTTTAAAG